CTTGAGGGATCCACCCACCTCGGCCTCCCAGAGTACTAGGATTACAGGCGTGAGCCACCGCGCCCGGCCTACAATCCCTATCTTGGTTGATTTCTGCATACATAGTTCCCCTGCATTATTTATATAATTTTTGTACAGACTACAACACAGTACAGCTTAGCTCGTCACCCTGCCGTATTCTGCAGAACTATGATGGGGAATTCCCTCCCTACCCCTTCTCTGAATTGTCCAATTGTACCATTTGGCAGAGTAATACATTGATGCCTCCTTGATCCATTATAGTAGAGTACAGATGGTATTTGCATCTTCTCAAGGAGTGGTAGCCTCTCTTCTGTGTTTTTAAAGTATATTTATGTACCATGCAGGTAGCTTTTTGACACCCATATCCCCCAAACTATAGAGTCGTTGTTGAGTGCAATGTGGTACTTGAAACATTGTATAGGTGAAGAAGGACCCCTGAGTCTTTTTGTCCATACCTATCTACATTCATTTTCTCTGGTAGAAAGATTGTGGGTATCTTTCCAGACTTAGTTTCCCTACCAAAAAAGAAAAATTGTGGGCTTTGCTGCAGTTCAATCCTGCATCCAGTATCACCTTCACCACTTGATTACCGTGTGATCAAGGACAAGTCTCTACCATAAAATGAAGATAATACTTCAAGGTTTAAGGAGGCCGGGCACGGTGGCTCACGCCTGTAATCCTAGCACTCTGGGAGGCGGAGGCGGGCGGATTGTTTGAGCTCAGGAGTTCGAAACCAGCCTGAGCAAGAGCGAGACCCCGTCTCTGTCGCGGCGGGGATTGCAGAACGGGGGATGGACACAGAAAGAAACACATAGACACACACAAGACATACAAGACTGCAGTAGACAATTCTACCAGTCGCTTTATTATATACTTTTTCTATGTCCGGCAGCTACTTCCTGGTATGTGACTACCTTGGACGCCTTGAGGAAACACATTTTCATTCCTTCCAGACGATTGCTTAAGGGAAGCAGACGTTTGCATCTTAA